AAATTGTTCTGAAACAATGATGAGATCAATGTGTTTGTTGGGAAATGAAACATGAGACTTGGGATAGAATAGTTATACCGGCTACAGCTATATTCTATTTTATGATATTACCACTATAGTGTTTCTTAGTACAGGGCATGATGAGAGACAAAGGCTTAAAGAGTGGTGTCAATATACATATAGTTACTGTAATATCATGAGTCTATGTGCAACATCTGGTATATTTTATTTTCATGATTTTATAGTGTATGCATTACCAAAAAGAGCAAAATAATCTATATGCCAGAGCAACATTGCCATAGAAACAATTGCTTCAAAAAAATAGAACAGGAAACATAGAATTTAATCTTTCATTTACTTTCCCCAAGCGATTTGATGGGAGATAGGAAACAATCATTTGCAGAAGCAGAACCCTCCCATAAACAATAATAAAAATACCGTCTTGTATTATAATGATACTTGATCCTTTTACCTTTTGGAATTGAAAAGTGCAGACAGCTTAGAATTCATCTTTATAGTAACTAAACTTAAGTGCACAAATAGATTATTTTGGGCGAGATGAAGATTTTTGTAAAGAAAATAAAATAAATGAAAATATCGCAAACCTCACACACATTTAGTCCACATAACTGGTTGTTTGCCTAAGGCAACATCTAAGGACAACTGCTCTTCATTGATTGCTCCAGTGGAAAGAGTTCCAAGGACGTTCATAAAAGCCATGGTAGGCAATACCATATGACTTGCTCCTTCAACATATTCTCATTACATCTGAACTGGTCTGAGTTAGCTGTGTCCTACCTTTGCTCTTGATCAGGGTTGAAGCTTCTTTATTTCAGAAGGAATTCTTCCTTATCTTTCTTCCCCATGTCAAACTCTACTGACCTGACATATGCTGGGATTAGATGCCCTGTCTCAAGATATAAGTCTACCTGGTTTGTGTGAATGCCAATCTTAAACCTTCATTACTGACACTTTATAAATCAAAGATTAGTTTGGTCCTCTCTTTTCTTCCTCTTATGATTTGGTATTTTTTTATTGTTTCCTTCACTTGCATGGGCATTTATTTCCCCCTTAGACTTTTAGGGAAGATTTCATCCGAGAGAGTGAACCTGGAATCCTGCACTACATTGCCACTATTGGGCCATTTTGTTTCTTAGCAGCTCATGGTGTAGTAGGATATTTAATCTTCTTCACTGTCGCTTCTTTGGTGGCATGTTATAATTTACAGAACTTGGGGTTAGAAAATGATGACTTCAACATCTAGGTCAGATCTCAAGGCTCCTCTTTGGGTTAAGTGCTCATTATCATATTTGGAATATGGTAGAGTACAGGTCATAGAATCATTTTTTTTTTCAAAATACTAAACTTGTGGTTTAGTACTGCCAAAGTGATTTTATGAAATTTGGGTATGATTTTTGATGCCAATCAAGACATAAATTGAGATGGGCTAGCTGCAGAGATAATTTAGAAGATTGACTTCCGTTGATATTTCATCGTGGGACACTATAAAGAAACTGCATGTATGCAGAACAGCCAAGAAAGCCATTAGAAAGTGAAATTGAGTGAGGCCACTTAATTAGAAGATAGGGCATAAAGTATCTCCATGATTCAGAAATTTAAGATGGTGGTATGAATTTTAAAAATGAAACTTTTTGCTTTCTGAACACAAAAATCATAAATCGTGTTACGGCTCATTTTGGTTTGAAAGGAGGGAGGAAAGGGAGACAGTGGAGAGGTAATTGAGTTGGCCAGTCATTTTCTTAAATGTGAAGTTGGACAAGCTCCAATTGCAGGCGTACTCTCCCTTGAGGGTAAGGAATGGACTGGAAACAACCTGAATTCTACATTAGTATTGTGCCTGGCACGTTATAGAAAGACACAATTTCCCAGCACATGTACTATTAGGGTTTGATATTAAGGCTTTGGTTAAGTCGCCACGGTGCCAGAGAAGAATGCTTTGGGATCAAGAGAAGTGAAGTGGATTTTTCTGTTACATCCAGAACAGTCAACCTGACTACTACTTTGCACAACAGGAACATTCAGGGAGGGCGTGTTGAAGGTTATATCAGAAGTGCAATTTCTTCCACCTTAATTTCAAGGTATTTTATAGAGAGTCACTTTATTAAAAACTCAGGATATATAAAATACAGTGTGTTTACCGTTACAGCTGGAAGCGATCATACTGAAGTGTATAATTTGGCTGCATGTTGCTTAGGAGCTTTCTGTGAAAAAAAAACCATCTCATATCTCTACCTGTTTCCATATGAGCACATATATTTTATTGAATGTGAGAAGTGACATTAGCAAGACAACATGTATGATTTAAACAGGGGTGGACTCTGGATTGGGGCCCATTTACTTTCAAATATTGACATCTATTATTCGGAGATAATTCACGGATCCCTAATGGTAAGACTGAGCCTGGCCAAATGGGGATTCCTGGCTGGCTCTCCACCCATTTGAACTTTACTGTAACCTACGGTGTGTATGCTTTAAATTTGGTCAATTAGCAACAAAAGCAGCCAGCGAGCACAGAGACCCTTGAGGAAGGAGGGTTTTATGGCTTTGGAATTTTGTGGGCTCTTTGGTCCTTTAATCCCATCTCAAACCTGAAATGGAGGTGGTTACCAACCACAAAGAAACAATAGATGGAGTTCTTGCTACACTAACATGCTCCAAGTCCTTCTCATTCCACAGCACATATGGATTCTAACTGGGCTGTTTGAAGAAGAGCTCTCTCACACAAAACTCTCTTTACCGCTAAGCAGCTCTATGCACTTAGCTTTCATAGGCTTGAACCAGCACAAGGCTGCCCAAATATAGCTTCAAAATGAGAAACGTTGCCTCAAAGGAAACCATTCAATAACCAACAATGTTGATTTGGACATGTCATATTTTTTTACAAGTCTTTGTTCATTTTTTTCCATTTGTATATGAGATATTTCTAGCTCCAGTAGATATTGTTTTTGAAATAGTATAAGAACTCTGCTACAAAGGACCAATGGAGATATCACCAAGATGATACATGTATCATGTATCACTGTTATGATTCTTAGAACAGTTTAGCAATATGTACATAATTAACTATTATTAATCAAATTAGAGCCCACAGTGATATTTCTCTGTGTGTGCATGCAAATATGTGTGCATATTCATGTGTTTGCAGGTATACATATGTAAGGATGTGGTACACAGATAATGCACATGGAGACCAGAGGGTGCTCGTCAATGTTGTTTCTTGGGCAATGAACTTTTGGCATCTGCCTGTCTTTGCCTTCCAAGTATTGGGTTACAAGGACACTCCATTAAGCCTGGCATTTAACACAGGTGCTGAGGATAATAAAGCTTAGTCACTTTACTAACTGACACATATCTTTAGCATTGTGATATTTCTTGATAAACGGTATTATGAAAAATCATATTGCATTTCTGAATATGATGTTGGTGATAAAAATATATCTCTTTTTTCATGATGCTACTTAGTTAAAATCACTACTAGAAAATTAAAATATTAAGTGTTTCCATTATTTTTTGAAATGCTTAGATGATTCATTACCGTTCATTCAAAATTACTGAATGTTTCTAATATTCAAAATTTTATATCATTACAAAAATGTAAAAAGCCCACAAAGATACCTATGAATTATAGTCTGACTAAAATAATTTAAGTTCTTCCTGCTTTTGTTTGTGATATGTATCTGTACCTATCAAGATACAAGCACATAAATTCTTCAATATGATGAATTAATAATTACTATTTCCTCATTTATGAAATGATATGGTCCAATATTTTCACTTGAAATGAATTCATGGAAAAATTATAGCTATTCAATTGTGAAAATGGAGACTGCTCCCTGTAAAACTTGGGGAGGGTGTGCTAGTATAGACACTTACCTCAGTCTAAGACAGAGCTAAAATTTTGCTCCTATTCTATGGTCCTTTTCTTCAAAGTCAGGAGAGTAGCCCACAGGAAAGCCAGTGACCAAGAATGTGTAAAGCGGGGGATTTTTAAGCATTTGCTCCAGCATCTCCTGATTCTCCCACAATTTCACCAAGGATCTTTGAGGCCGATGCCAACACATTGAGACTATGAACAAGGGGGCCTGCATTTCAAGAAGGTAACAGATCTTGCAATCTGTGCTCAAGTGCTACGTGTAGTGGCGGCTCCCCCTTAGCATACATAAAATAAGAATATTCTAGACACCTAGTAAATCAAATAAAAATTAACCAAGGACTGGCAAGAGTGTCTTGTGATGCTGGCCAAAGCACCTGAAGAGAAAACAGGGTAATCACAGTCGGGGACAGTGCCCGTGCTTTGCGTGCTAACTATTACTTTTTAAACGTTCATTAGTGTCACTGCCATTGAGAAGTTTCCCCAGCAGAGGGAAGCACAGCTTCATTATTAATCTCATAAATTGAAATAGGGAGAAGGAGCCTGCACTCCAGTGATACATTTTAAGTGGAGGTTGGCTGATGTTTCAGATTAAATAAGCAACTGTGTCGTTTAACAAGTCTTAATATCTTGTAGAAAGCATACAGTGTATTGACTCCAAATTGCCCACTTCAAGGAAATATACAATTAGTATTTTAATGTAAAGACATTGCTTCCTTGTCCATCTGACTGAAACAGAAAGAGTATACTGGCTTAGCATCATTGGCATATAGATATATGGCTTCTTGGTCGATTTTAACATTATTTTTTTAAGTTTGTTTGATATATTTTAATGAATTTCTGTTGCCCATTTCTTTGGCTGGCTAACATGTAAAAGTAGGTCCATAGACCTGGCTTCTTTTTGTCCATGTAAGAAATTTGAGTTTTATATCTCATAGAAATCTAAAATCTTGAATTTCTTATACTTGTGATCATAAAGCTACTCCTGTTTTGTGCATTCTTCAACATTTTCTTCACATCAGACCATATTTCCGTTAAGTATTTGAAAAGATGTATGCGCTCTTGCCAGTTGAAGATGAGAGGGTTAAAGACAAGGAGTGTGACTTACCATGGTGTTGTAAGTCTGAGCAGTGGGTTAGTGGGTCTCCATTTCTGATGTCTTGTCGTCTTGTGCGTCTAAAATAATTATATTTAAGAGACATTATTCTATCTCTGTTTTTCCAGTCAGAGATTTCTGATATGAATGAAAAATCAAATCTTATTGACTATTACAGACAATAAAAGAAGACATGCATTTGCATCCAGTGTGGCTGTGTGAGGGGTTAAAGGTGGTCAAACTGGAAATACAAGATCCTCAGTTCCAGCAACTACAGCCCAAGGTCTTTAAACTATTACTAGCAGACTTCCTTGCCTGTTTTCTACCAGGTATCCATCAACAATAATCTAACACCGGGAATCTCTGACCTTAATTTTATATGAAATGAAGTATAATATATTTAAACAGCAACGCATTTCTTCAATAAACATGATTGACCTATTGTCTAAACATGATTGGACTATTGTTCTCATCATCAACGTGGTTATAAGCTTGAAAACTAAAATTCACATGAATGATGATTTCTCTTACTGCACAAACCTATTTTTAAAATATACTGTTGTCTAGCTTTCAAATATTTAAACCAAGAATTCTTTCCTTTATTGCCTTATATTTTTTTATGTCAGTATTTTAGAGAAAAGCATCTTTATTGTGTATCATTTGATCTTTTGTGGAAATAAGGATTGAACTGAGGGCCTATTGTATTGCTCTATCATTAAAGTATACCTCCAACATGGGCTCCTTCTTTGTTTTAGATAGGGTCTCATCCTATAGTCATGGCCAGTCTGCTGGGATTTGAGGTACATACCACCATGATTGCCCTATCCTATGGTTATGATTGCAAATCTGTTTGTTTGTGCATTGGAGAGAGTAGGAAGACAACCAAAATGTTAAACCTAAAGGTAAGTTCTCCTTTTGCTAGGAGAACGGGTGAACCAAGATGGCCTTCTCTTTCAAAGAAGAGAAGAATGTACATATCACACTAGAGTTCTTGTTCTTTCCAGGGTTCTCAAACTGTATGTGAAGAGTCCTGCAGTTAGACATACTTGGAAGAGGAGCTGGCCTCCTGCTACCTGATACAAAATAGATATGAAAATGGAGAGATAAGAAATATAGAGAATGGCTGTATGTAACACACATGGAAAGTCTGGTTGTACTTGACCAATTTTATTTTCTTTTGTCATCAATTTAAAGGTATTATCTTGCGATAAAATTAGTTACCATCCTTGAAAAGGAGCGCCTTTATTGGTCATTGAGAACTGTCAACATGGAATTCATTATAGTACCCATGAATTTAGAAGTGTAAAGTATTCAAGGATTTCTATTTGTGGAAAGAGTGAGACTATCAAACAGATGTGCACATTTGAAAATTGAGCCAGAAAGAGAACTGTGAAACCTGAACCTTAGAGCACTGGGGAAAGTCTTTCTCAATGCCCAAGCTTTAAAAGCTGTTCTCAGAGCATCTACATGGTATAGGGACTCTACCACACTCCTCAAACACATATCTAGTGTGAGACATGTGCAGTTAGATCAAGTAAAATCTGGGAGTCACAAGAAGAACAAAAGCACAAGTGAAACACTTTTGGTCTTAATTTGTGTGTGTGTGTGAGAACCACTTTCAAATATATACAAACTAGTTTTAAGTGACAGTTGTTATCTTTATCTCTTTTTCTCCTTCTTTGATAAGAAATACTTAAAATTCAAACATCTCTTTACCAAATTTTGTGAAGTTCCTCAGTATTATTTAAATTAAAAATGCTCCTCATTTTAATATCAAATATGAATTCCATATGTACATTTGAGTAAATGTACCCTAGAGCCAAATAGCTTTAAGAAGAACAAAAATTTAACCTTAAGCAATTCATAACTGTCACAGGAATGAATGCATATTTTAATGTATTGAACTATCCATAGTTTCTTTAATCAATATACATTATCTTCAAATTCAGCTAGTTTTTTCTACTATAAAATTCCAACAGATTTTGAAAGCACTAACCATAACACTTAAATCTAGAATTTTGAAAGATCAAGAAATCTCTGTATGTACATGGTCTGCATTAAGAATATTTACATTTAGTATCGGTGTGATTCTGTGTTCTAGTTATATGTTAATATAATGAAGTTACTTTGTTGGTGAATGTCTTTACAAAGATATACTTTATAAAGATATACAATTTATTTATTGTATGTATGTGTTTGTGCATCTGTGTATTCATGGATGTACCCTGAGACCAGAAGAGGGAGCTGGAGACTCTGAATCTGGATTTACACGTGGTTGTGAACTGTCTATGTGGGCCTGGGAACTGAGCTGGGTGCAGTTCTCTGTAAGAGCAGTAAATCCCCTTAACCACAGAACCATCTCTCCAGGCCCAGTGGTAGATGATTCAATAGTAAGACAATATAATCTAAAACACCAATGAAAATATTTAAGTGGATGTTAGGGTAATGCTTTCCTATTATAGTTGTAATATTCCGATGCTACAGAGCACACTTCAACCACTGCAAAAGGCTGATATTCAGAGCTCCTTAGGAAACGCTGTCTATGCTGAAACAAAGTTAGATTGCTCCTAAAGTGTACTGGTTTAGGGATAATGGTGACTTCCTGTTTGAAGAGGTCAGTGTGCTTGGTAGTAGACTTAAAGGCACATGAGCAAGATATTTCATATTCTTTTATTCATCCATCATTACATCTTCCTGAAACAGTAAGTATCAATAAAGAAAGGCAGCTATCAGCAAAGAGTAGAGAAAATAGTTATATTACTGCTTTGTCAAATTAAGAACTACTTTTATTTTATTAAACACTAGTAAGTTAATTTGCAACTTTAGGATGTATATAACAGTTCTTTGTAATATGAGAGTATGTCTTGAAAAAATATTACATTAATTGATTATATTACCATTCTATTTTATTTTAAAACTTTTATATGCAATGTATTTTTATCATATTTTTACTTCTCCTCAAATCCCCCTTCATCCTTCCCATTCTTTAAGCATTGAATCTTGCATAGGAAGCTGCAGTTTCGCAAATTCTCTATGTGTTGTTCTCAGTCATGTCTAAAATGTCTAAAAATGATGATGATGGTGGTGATGAAGATGTAATGGTGGAGAGCAACAGAGAAAGACACTTGTTATTAAAGTCTGACCTACACAAGTGTACAGGCACACACACACACATCTATATGCTCAAAATACATTTACAGCATACACAATGCAGACAGGATCTTTTTTGTTTGTTGAATATGCACACCAGGCTGGCTGGCTTGTTCTGTCTCCTGTCCCATCTCACAGGCTACAGAAGCACTGGGAATACAGACGTCCACACCACATCCAGCACGTGTAGATTTGGGGGATCACACTCAGCGCCTCACACCTCCATGACAAGGACTGTACCCACTAGCACATTGGCCCAATCATCATTTTCACTGTTTAGGCTAGGATCTTTTATATTCCTTGGATTCCATAAAAGCAAATGAACTCCCGTCTGTTAAGGAATTTCTTTTCATTTGGTAACATAAATGGCCTTATTAAAAACGGGCCATAATACCTCTAGATAGATAAAAGTAGATAGAATATTGAGTTCAAAGAGCACAAGGCCCAGACTTAGCTCTAGTTTCTCTTCATAACTTTTTCGGAATTTTGGCCTGGTTTCTCCCTTTTTAAAATAAAACTGCGAATCTCAGTTGCAATGGTAGGAATTTAGGGATATCGTGTTGCTGCCCTAAAAGTCCTTCAGTTATTGGTTCTTATTTAGGATTCAACTTTCCTACTGTTCATCCATCTTCTTGTCTTGTGTTTTTTAGGAAATGGGAAAACAAAACAAACAACAGCAAAATAACAATAAAAATCCTATTATGTTAATACCTCAAATCTCTCTTTATTTGCACATTAATAAGGCAGTGCGCTTATTTATAAAGAGATGTTCCAGAAAGCAAATCAGTAAGTCTGCGAAGAAACATTGTATTTCTTCTTTATTGCTCATCTTACCTTTTGGCAGTGGGGAAGTAGCGGGAACAGGATGACCCATCCCAGGCACAGTAAGGGTCCCGGGCGAGGCAGCATTCGGCACAGGCTTTGCCATAAATGTCACAGCGATGCAGAGGAAGCTGGACGACCCCAGCAGCTGAGCCAATGTAGAGCTGTTGCTGTGGATGAGTTAAGAAAACACTCGTTGGGCGTTCTCTTTTAAACTAACTTGTTTAGGCTCGTTATCAATACATTATATTTATGGATCATAATTGTTTAGATAGTTTCTAAAGGTCTAGCAGACAGTACAGTTTACAGTGAAGGAGAAACCATTTCTAAGCATCTGACTGCAACAGGAAAGAGAGATGGTTTTCCCTCACTAGAGAACTGATTAATGATAATAATCAAAGCCTCAAGTAAAAGTTATATAAATGCTATGCCAGAGGACAGGTGGTTGGATAAAAGCCACTGCTGCCAAGCCTGATACTCTGATGGAGGCTGTAGGGACCCACATGACATAGGATGAGAACTGACATTCCCAAACAGTTCTCTGTCCTTCACACCTGTAAACTGCACTGTGACATGCCCCCACAACATGAATAAAAACATGAGTTTTTTTTAAAAAAATATGTGAATACTGAGACATGTAATAATAGTCCATAGGAAAAGACTTTAAAGTATATTTTAATTTTCCTATTATATGGATAAAAACTGAGTTTTAGAACAACTTCATCGTGAACAATAGGATGCCCTTTGACATTGTAAATTGCTTGATAGTCAGAAATGGACACGGTCAACTTTGCTTTTTCAGAGACTTTCACTTACAGACTACACATGTGTGTGTGTAAGTTGAATGTACACTAAAGTGTTTAATGAAATTTAAGAAATTATTAAGGAGTGTTTTTAAAGATAATAGGCTAGTGCTTAAAGCTAAACAATAAATTTAAAAAAGCTATTTATAAAAGAATAGCATGAAGTAAGAATAACAAATTCATTTCCTTGTACATACATTTTCCTTGTTAAATATTGCTATTCTAAGAAATACAATAAATAAAATTATTATGCATATTAATAGATATTTAATCTGTTTAGTCATATTCATTTTAGTGTTATCCTGAATGAGTTTGTAAATAAGCACAGATAAAATTGGTTTATTTCTTAGTAAGAGAATATGTTTTATCTTTTTTAATATAAAGAACTTAGATATCCACTGTAATAAAAATGAGGCAGATATACCATACTTCGCAAATGTGAAATTACTTAGGGCTCTGTAGCCATAGCCAGGAACACAGTTGACAACAATGAACATGAACATGATGACACTGACATTAATATCCTAGGCTATTTTGATACTTTTGAGACAGTTTCAGATAGCCTAGGCTATCCTTATTCTCCAGGATCCTGTGCCTTCATTCCAATCAAATGTTTGGATTATGGGTGTTGCACCTAGCCCTGGTTTGGGATCCTATTTGAAAGGGTCAGTGACCAAATTGGCCATGCTATCAAAAGACCTTATGCTTGGCTAATAATGTTTCAGAAGCATATGCCAAATTCATAATTATAGATTTATGGGCATAGAGCATTTGAGTAGGAAAAGAACTGCCCAGACAAAGTATCTATATCTGACATTCGCCTTTGGAGAAAAATAGAAAAAAATGTATAGTAAAAAGAGAAAAAGCAAAGTGAGTAGAGCTGTCCAAATGAGATATGATTATGAAAACCCAAACTCCAATAAATTGTCCCAAATTAAATGCAATTCAATCTCATTTTGATTTCATCATAATTCTTCAAGATTACTAATGATACATAAAATAATCATGCTATTCACAGAAAGCATAGCGGCTTGCAGGCATCACTGAGCATAATCCAGTGACTAGCTAGAAACCTGATGTGTTTTTCTGCCCAATTTAACATCGCCGCAGGAGATTTCGCTAGTCTCCTCACGAGATGAGGGCCACGAGCAGGACAGGATTTCATTATCTAGAAGGTTAGTTATATCGTCACTCGTCCCCCCTAAAATGCTGTCTCACTTTAAAAATGCTTCTAACTGTGGATGAAATTGAGTCCTATTGAGTGAAATCCATCTTCCCTCTATCAAGGATTCTTTTACTGTGATAATTCAAAATGGCATTTTTTAGTTGACTGTTATATTAATGGGAAATATTTTTTAAATGTTTAAATTCTTAATTGTTTTCAAACAGGATGTTTTGCTAAATTGGATTTAGAGGTGATTCAGTAAGGATCGACTCTGAAGTCTAGCAGGGAATAAATATAAATAAATACCTTTAAAATCATTACAGGAAAGGTTATCCCTGTCTAGCTAGCTTCCATTCTGGAAAGCCCCGGATTTCCTTGCCAACATGTGACAGTTTTTAGATATGAAGAACAGGTGAGTAACATGTTAATGAGGTGTAAGATAGCAGTATCGTGCCAATAACGTCTGCACTCCGAGGTTAAATGTCTTGGAGATTATCGATCTATTTTCATACATCTGTGTGGAAAGGCACACGTTGCATTTTGTTGGCACCATGATTTAGTGTTTTGTTCAAGGGGCAGAACACTGTCAAAGGCAGGTCACGCAAATATATCAGAAATAACGATGGCCAACTGACTATCTTATTCATGCTTCTGTATCCAAGCTTTTACAACAGGAAGAACACCCTCATTCACTGTCATTTTTATAATATGTTGACTTATTAATGGACTTCAGCTCTGGGTACCCATTTATTTCCAAAATTGTCATTCAGATAGTGGATATAATTTGTTAGAAGTCACACTCTGAGTCACATCCACAGTTATTGAGAAATCACCTGTTTTTCTTCTGTGTTTGTCAAAACATCCATTTGATATGAATGAAAGACTAAACATAAGTGGCCCTTAAGTTCTGAATTCTGGCAAGCCAGAATATTCTACTCGGTAGTGCTTGGTTGTTGTTGTTGTTTTTTTTTTTTTTTTTTTTTTTTTTTTTTTATTTTCGAGACAGGGTTTCTCTGTAGCTTTTGGTTCCTGTCCTGGAACTAGCTCTTGTAGACCAGGCTGGCCTCGAACTCACAGAGATCCGCCGGCCTCTGCCTCCCGAGTGCTGGGATTAAAGGCGTGTGCCACCACTGCCTGGCTTGGTTGTATGTTTAACTGAAGTGAAAGCCACCTTTTTTGTTCTCACCATACAATACTACTGAAGGTAGGTGTTTCTTTTTAAGCTAAGTTATTCCAAACATAATAACCAACAGCTTGCTTTTATTAACCTCTAAGGTATAGGATTTTATTAATCTGCAAAGCACAGATGTACAATTTTCATTCCATTCGCTTGTTAGAATAGCAATACTTCTTTGCTCTTTGACTCTTTCCAGTCTATAAAATGTGATGGATGATAAATAGATCTATCAAGTACAAAGTCAAAACCAATGAAACATACTGCTGACTGCAGCGTCTTAGGATTGTACCTGTTTCGTAGAAAGCTCCATTGCTGATATGGTTGTGGGTTCCTAAAAAAAGAAGCAAAAGGAGTGTATGATGAAAGAGAAAAGATAATGTGTAATTGGTTAGCGCACTTACTAAGTTCTCAGAGAAATGATGTCACTGTTGACAACAAATAGCATAACTGGAAATAAGATGTGTGAAAGAAGCCGGAGAGCTAAGTGCTAGATACGCGAAGCCAACAGCGAGGGTCCAGTAGCACCATCGGCATAAAAATCCTTAGGGATCCTGAGTGCAGCTGGGCAAGGTGTGTTTGTCACCCACCGACTGCACTTAGAGAACATCTCAGTGGGTCCATTGAAGTCAAGAGGAAGTAAATTCTCTACTTCCCCTTCCTTACTTATTTCTTTAAGTGCACTTTCCTCTGCTTCGCCTCCTATTTGTCTGTGAGACAAGGACAGGCACCACACGTCTTCCTTGGTCCTTTGGTTTAGGTGGAATCCGGGCGCTCGGACCTGAACGCCATCAGGTCCATTCACCCTTTGACCTCTCCTACAGCCCTTCCTCCGTGAGCTTTCATTTTCAGGAGCAGAATTTGCGAGTGCAGTTCCATTGTGCCTCAAAATCGCTTATTGATCATTTCCTCTTAGTCTTTCTCATTATCTCTTCTGTGCCTTCCTTTCAGTCCGAACAGGTTCACCTTCCCCCTCCCATTCTTCCCATTCTGCCTTTTGTTCACGGAGCTGGGCAGCCATGGCACTGCCTACCCCACATGCAGAGGCAGAGCTCAGACACCCCACTTCAAACCCGATGGCAAAAATTCGCACGTGAGTTTCTTAACAACTTATGTACAATCTGCCTGGTGTACTAGTGAAACAAATTATTAAGGATGTGTGGTAATTCAATGGGCTAACTTAGAGATTTTTAATACTTTTCTATTTTACAGTTTAGGTGAGTGATGGTAACTATTAAATATAATAATGATTTTTCAAGGAATTATCAATCACAAAGACAACTATGAGGCAAACAATGTCAGGCCATTGTGTCTACATAGAAAGGGTATGTTTACTATTTAGTATTATCAAGGCATAAAAAATAAATCTGTATTTCATGAAAGATACTCTGTTTTAAGGCAATTTTTAGGTTCTACAATATTGGAACAAGTTAACTAATAAAGAAATTAAATGTGTCAGGAGACATTTCCATGGCGATTTCTCCCCCTCTAACCATTTCACATGAGAATTTCTCATTAGGCTAAAGAAATAACTGAGTTCATGCGGATTTATATCGAAGAAATTTTATAGTCAAGCTTGTTCAAGGCATTGAAAGTTAACACCCACAGTAATAAAATATGAGGTCTAAGTTCTTTTTAAAATAAAGTTGAGTGAATTTTCACTTCCAATTTACTGACAATACAAAAGCAAAAACATCTATTACGCAAAGGAAAATGGGTTATCATATGTCAATTGTAAAACGTGAGACAAACTTGAAAACACATCAGATTTCATGAAGACATATTATGCCAACATTCAAGATCAAGTTCATGGTATCCTTTATTAATATAACCTTATTTATTTTTTATGCCAGGAAGTTAGGAACAGTTTAGAATGTGGACTGCAATTGAATTTTAATGCACAATATATTACAGTGACATCCATTTAAATAAGCTGTAATTTTCCTGAGAAATAACTGGTGGAGAATATGACTTCCCTTTACAACAGATGCAGCTTCATAACCATTTTTTTCCATGAAATTGCAAATTCACTTGTAAATTCAATTGGTGTTCATGGATAAGAAAGTGAAATAAGAAACAGCATCTTTTCAAGATTCTCTATGACTCCAATTTGTGATATATCTCCCAGATATTTTAAGTTAGTGCTTATTAAACTTTTTCACTTTCGGAGCTCTTCCACGTGCAGACCCTGGGAAATTCGGACATAGCTCACACTAGATGCTCCGCGTTGGGAAGGAAGCTCCCTTACAAGTTAATAGGCTGGGCTTGGGAAAGCATCAATTACATTTTACATTTGAATGAAAATTAAACTCTCTCATTTGTTTGCTCAGCTGTTCGTGGAATATTGCATAAATTGGGTTTAAAATGCAAGTGTTATTGATGTAACTGCCTTGCAATCCTCTGCAGCCAATGGGACTATAAATAAAGCCCTTTGTCCCCAAGGCGCCATGGCTGGATGTGGCACCTCAGTGACTCAAAAGGAAAGCCCATTGGAAGGACTAGAAAGGAAAACCCATACTGACCAGTCAAGGTGAAAAATCACTACGTGTCTGGCTTTTTATACATTATTTAAGAAAGGACAAAGGTAAGGGAGCCCAGCATTCTAGAGCAGTTTTTTAAGGGTATAACTATTTCCCAATAACTAATTTACCAGTTAGCTTAGTTTTACTCTAAAAGGAGACTCTTTAACACTTATATTTTCAATCTTCATCATAAGCAGAAGTCGATGCTCCAGTAACTAAGCAGGTCACTCAGGAGCACACAGCAAACTCTCAAACTCAGATGATTGCTGGCGAGCCCATTTAGAATCTGGCTGTGTGTTGGTGCCGCTGTGTTATTTTGAATATTTACTAGCAGGTGTGTTAGCTTCTGAGACTGACACCAATGCCAATTCTACTTCTTAGTGCTTAGTGTCTATTAAAAGATTTACTCTGAAATGGAAGTTTTATTGCCCAAAAATATTTTTCTTTCTATACACTGATTGGGATGTGATTTCACCCCAAATAAAAGTATCTTGTAACCAAAACCACTGGAATGTTCTGTGATTAGCCAGTGTTTTCCTAAAACAGATCTCAAGATGGCAAGTGGTATGTAGTGAATTTAATCCAAGAATTTATGAGTTATTCAGTATAAGAGTCATAAGAACATGGTCTCACGGAGGTGGTAATGTAAGTAAATTGAACTTTACATTAAATGTGCTTAAAGATTATAAAAGAGTACCACCCAGGATCATGACCTTAAATCTTTCTCTTGTGTATTTACCCTATCAAGCTAAGGTGCAGCTCAGCTGACCTGCTTAAACCGCCTTTTATTTTACATGGAATCACACTAGTGTCAAATAGAAACATAGGCAGTGTAACATTTCCCTGCTTTTCATTGGATGTGGCTATCGCTTCAATGTATTGTGGTTTTTCTTTTTTCTGTCCCCCACTGCAAAATTAAACAAAGCTTGAGAGTGAAATATTCCAATCGCTAGCCCACACTATATGTAAGAACCTTGGCTGATAGACTAGAATGCTGAAAGTAAATATTTCTGTACACTCTGCCCATAGATGTTTTGTCTGCTTGAGTGCCAAAGAAATAATCGTGACAATATGGACGGCGAAGACCGGACAGCAGAGGAGAGGGCGCCTGAACTGGCCTTGTCCCATAGTCACACTGATGATTGTCTCGAATATCACCTTAGAACCTTCGTTTGGTGACGGATGGAGATAGAAACAGAGACCCACATCAGAGCCCTGGACTGAGCTCCCAAGGTCCAGTTGAGGAGCAGAAGGAGGGAGAAGATGAGCAAGGAAGTCAGGACCACAAGAGGTTAGTCCTCCCACTGAGACAGTGTGCCTGTTCTAATGGGAGCTCACAAAATCCAGCTGGACTGGGACTGAACGAGCATGTGGTCAAACCGGACTCTCTGAATGTGGCTGACAATGGGGGTTGACTGAGAAGCCATTGAGAATGGCACAGGAACTTATTTTTCTTTCATGTACTGGCTTTTTGGGACCCTAGTCTATTCGGATGCTCACTTTCCTAGGCCTGGATGGAGTGGGGAGGGCCTTGGACTTCCCACAGGGCAGGGTACCCTGACTTCTCTTAGGACTGGAGGGGGAGGGAGAAGGGTGAGCAGGGGAACAGGAAGGGAATGGGAGGAGGGGAGGAAGTGGAAATTTTTGAATTGAAAAATTATATATATAAATTTAGCTCTACTAAGTGATGACAGAAGGTCATTGAAACTGAAGTGTATAACACAGAAGGTCCATTTAGTTACAAGTGGTTAGAGACTATGCTTAGGGTGATCACCTCTGTCTGTCTGTCTCTTTCTCACACACATACGCACATGACTGAATTTTTGTAAAAGCCTGATCCTAGGGAACGGTAAGGAAAACACGAAGTCTGTGAGTCATTAAGTGTTTACAAGGGTGCTGCGCTAATGTCACCCGTGACTTCATTTACAACGGTTACATTAATAATTCATTTTAAGGGAATCTATCAGAGAATAATATGGAATCAGATTACCAGGATTACATGGGACTGTTTCTAATGCACCTTTCCCATTATTCTCCAATCTTTACTCAGGTCCTCACAATCTTTATCTTATTTCATTTTTGCATCAGTAATGTTTCATTTGTTTCAATAATAAATGTTGGCCGCATTTACATCTTGGGCTTCAGACATGTAACTATGAACACCAGGCATCCATTTATGAGTTTTGCCCACATTGCCCATCATTTGTTTGCTAATCTAAGTGGACCCCCGATAGTGGGTGACAGCCCATTTGGATAATTGTAGTTTTTGATGTATAGGTTAAAGTTCCAGTGTGCTTGCTTTTCGGGGTAACTCACTTGGAACAATGAACGGTAAGATTCAGTTCACACTCTATATTCAGCAATTAAATATAGCCAAAAGAATCAACTTTTAAAAATCAAAATTTGATTTCACTATTTTGAATATTTAAGACCATGCAGAACATTTATAAGGAAGTCTACTCATGTTCAGCTTAGATAACTAAAAACAATAAAGTAATAAATACTAATGACATTTCATCTGAGCATTGTGGCACTGCTTAGAATCCGAGTACTCAAGTAGTGGAGGCCGTAGATCAGAGGCTCAATGCCATCCTCAGCTATACAGTGAATTCAATGCAAGCCTGGCATACTGGGGACACTGTCCACAAAAGAAAACAGAAGCAACTACAGTGACACTAACAAGCCTGATCGTATGTGGGCCACAATGCTGTCACTGTCCCTATGCTTTAAGCATGGGTCACTGGGTGAGGAGGTACTATAGTCAATATTTTGCAAATAAGAGTTTTGGAGAGACTGTGTGAAGCTAGGATTGCTATGTAGGCTAAAGTGAGGCTTCTATACTGTCCAGTAGAAGATTATCCAGGTGCTATTATCAAAGATCTATCCCAGTGTACCAGGGGCATGCTTGAACGACAGTCCTTCATTTGCCTGCAATTTTGACTTCATTTTCTCAACCTAAGACAACTGAACAGTGATTCCCTGGTCTATACGCTAAGTGCATCATATCTAAGTAAGGTGCTGAAAGGAGTGAGGTGCACTTAGCTTCATCATTAAAAGTTGAATCAACTGAAAACAATAATCCATATACATGTGAGAATGTGTATATAGTTATGTATATATGCCAGTGTGACACATGTGGAGGACAAATGATATCACATGAAATTGTGGGACTACAAACAGTATTTCCACCCTTCCTGTCTACTTTTTCCTTAGCATTCAAGTTTAAATTATATTTTTTTAATTTGTCAGTAAGTACCCACTGTATTATCTTATCAAAATATTTTCAGAATGTTATTTGTCTTATATGTAATTCATATAAAAATGTGATTCCCTGTTCAAACTCTTCCAGTTAGCAAGGGCTCATAGATGAGCAACATGTATGATACCTATGTTCATCTATTTCCCATGTCCCTGCTCCAACCTCAGAACACCTGATGCCTGAAGGGCCTACCTAAACTGTTGGTGACTCAGGAAAATGTGACAAATATTTGCCCATTTTTGAGGTTAAAAGTAGGCATCTATAATCTATTGTCTGTCGCTAACATAAGCCTTACTTACTCAAACTTAACACTGATTTTCTTAAGAAAATACTATAAAATAATCTATACATTTCTTCCTTCGGCATGCTGAACATATCTCCCAGAATGCACTCAGAGTTTACATATCATGGAAAATATTTTATAAAGTGGAAGAGAAGGCAGTTTGAATAGGGAGGATTTGATCTTCAAGGTAACTTATACAAATAATAAAAACGTAAATCATATATTTTGTCATTTATAAAAGAAAATATGAGCCAAGAATTTTTACATTCATACATTGAACTGCATTGACACTTCCAAAGTATGGTTTGATTAGTGTCTGGTTTTTCTACTTGACAATCTAATTAGAAGTATCTACAAGATCTCTGTCCACAGTAACTTTGGTATCCCAGCTGTCCTGGGGCATAGATAGCAGCTGAATATTGCAGATGCAAATTAGGCAGTACTCACCCTGAAGACTGTCATTTCTTCCAGAAGAACCTCTTCTAAGTCATGCCACGTCTCCTTGGGGACTGAGACCACCTTAAGGACAGTCCCAACATCTTTAAAAGAAAGCAGAGGGAAAGGTTACACTGGAATTAAATTAGAATGGAGTTTACCCTTAATGGGAAGATAAAGAATTTTGCAGAGAGGTTTTTGTTTGTTTGTTTGTTTTCATTTTTATCTTGTGGAATAGAAAGTATGTGTGTTAGTCACAGCATACAGAGAAGAAAGCTCAGGAGAAAACTTCTGGAAGTCAGTTCTTGCAATACACTTTGGTAGAGGTGGTTCTCTTCTGTTGTGTGTGAGACCTTGCTTCCTACTCCAGGTTAACTGGATTGCAGGCTTCCCATCCTAAACTTTCCATCTCCCCAGAGCAATTCTTAGATATTCTTAGAAGACACTTTCCCATGTCTTCCTGTGTCTGGACTCAAGTTGTCAACTCAAGCATAGCAAGTACTCTTACACACCTAGCAATCTCCCAGGCTCCCCACCCCCCCCCAAAAAAATTTTCCAGCCTAACTCTTTGTATTTCTTTTCCATGTGTTGGGTACATTCGTAAAATTCTACATACAAATGCATTTCATGCACTTAGACTCTGAACTATAAAGATACCCATGGGACATAAAAATCAATTTTTAGAACTATATCAAGCTTCAAAGAAGAATTTAACATGAAAGTGTAGAAATTTGCAAAAATATAGTAAACATAATAAAATGGCAAAATTGAATAGGTTTTTTTAATTTAAAAATTTTAATTCTAAAATTTTAATTGCCACTCTTTGTTCTAAACAATTTTAGTGTTTAGTAAATTAGATCAATTCTTTGCAGCCTCAGTTGGTTTATTTTAACAAACTTTTCCTTTATCCAAATAAATTCTTACCGATAAGAATATAATAATAATAAGATACTAGAAAAGTCACCTAGTACATCGACTCTATTGGCCACTGTCCTCAGTGGATTGTCTCATTGTACTCTGTGATCAAGGCTATTCCTTTTAAAGTTAAAAAAGTCCACTTTTAAGAGGATCCTTCTGTGTTTACAGGACCTTAGCCTGCTCAGAACACCAAAGATTAAAGGGAAATTAGGTTAATCTACTTTGTGACTCCATTGGGTCTCCTGGACCCAAACACAACTTTATCTCTGTTCCAGATCAAGTTTTACCGAATAGTATTTCAAACAATTTCACACAAATTGAATCAGATTACTCAACAAGGATCAATGCTCTATGAAGTGAAACTTAGTTAAAAGATACAATTACTGTAATCAATTTCCTTGCTGACAGATGACCCTGGTCTGGACTGACCTACAACCATCTACGACATCCAACGTTCAACATCCTCGTGAAAAGGGGGTTTTTAAAGGCAGTTTGTGTCCTAGAGGAACTAAATGCTCATGATGGGTTTGCTTTGGTCAAACACCCGGAAGCAGGCTTTGTTGCTCTGAGAGCGAATAAGGGATTTCTGAACTAAGGATGGCGAGCAAGGCCACAGTGACATTATTGAACAAACCCAATTACTCTGCAGAGATTCAATTACAACTTGACATTAAAAGAGAAGCTAATATTTACTGGGAAGAAATATTCTCTTCTATTTCCTGATTTATTTGTAAGCTGCGGGCGCTACACACAGTCACTGACTTTTATGGAACTCCGACTCTCATTAGGATTCGTTCATTTGGTGGGAGAATGTCCTCTGTAAAAGGGGTCTTCAATGTATTGCTAAGAACCCTGACACTGTTAAACATGATGACGTCAGGATTTCACAATTAAAGTATGGATCTTACAGTAATTTACCACACATTTTCTGTTCTGCTGTAGTCAACGTAATTTTCTTTCTGGTTCTACCCCAAGGAAGAGAAGACGTTTTTGCACCAGGTTTCGGTGGAGCACACTGCTTTGCTTCGTCTCTGGCTGATTTATGTCAGCTAATGATGTTAATGGAGACCGAGAATTTATTACCCTGGAATCTGACGTTAAGTAGCAGGTTTTGGATTTGTAACTGGTACTTTCATAGATTGCATCACCGTTGAGAGGGTATGGGGAGACACAATAACATGTCACAGCCATAGAAAGATTGATTCTGAAAATACACCTGCAGGTATCTGCTTCTAAAAGTGAAATCAGTGAAAGGATTTTGTTATGTTTCTAAAGAAAGGCATTCAATGAGTGTCCAATACATTTTCTGATAAAAAATTTTTTTCCAGGTTTCATTTGTATGGCAAAAACAATGGATGAATTATTTGGGTAACCTTTATTTGATTGAAGGTTTTCATTAGTAGAAATGCTAAGGTTCAGACAAGTTTTCAGTAACATAATACCCTGGGAATCTCAGTCATGATTTGAGCAATATTGTGACTGTGTGTATGTGTATTTGTGTATCCCTAACTAGAAGAATTATGATTCAATTATTGTAATTGATTATTTAGCTCTTATATTTCCTTGATTGAATTGAATAAGTTTCATTTCAAAGGACACCCCCCCCTTTTTTTTTTTAAAAGCAAATGTATCTACAAAGTGATGGCAAACTGTTCTGGTATCTTGAAAATGAATGCAGAACTTGGTTCTTAGTACACTTAGTTAAATACAGTGTTCTGGAAGAAAACACAAGGGTAAAATTCAAAAGTGTACCTGTTCCGATGAACATGACATCATACTGGCCATCTTCTGCATCTACTCGGTCTACAACGATTTGTGTGAACTGATAATTTACATCCGTTTTGATCATGATTGGGCGGTTATTAATAGGGAATACTGGGTTGTACATGGCTGGATGACTTCTGGCAAAGGTTATGACATCATCAGGAAGGTCCTTTGTGGAGTCAAAGCCACCAAATGTTTTACTCGGACACTATTAAAAAAAGGCGAATACCTTTTAAATAAAATCTAATGATTAAGATTATAAATTATAAAATTACACTTTTCAATAATCTGTGAGTCTAAACCCATATTTTCTATTATATTTGAACCTGACTGAATAAGTAAGCATTAGTTATTGCCAGCTCTTATGTACCTAAATTAATAGTTGAAAATATCAGTATATATTTCTTAACAAATGTTAATTTTCATTATTAATGAATGTCATCATTTCTTGCAGAACTTGCAAATGTGTCTGAGGTGTTCAGAAGTCTGAAGAAGTCTGACGTCCCTGTTAACTGTACCAGCCTGCGCTCTTCCTATTATAGATGTTTAACACAATGCATGAAATATGCTACATTTGAGTGAAACTAATGATGTCTAGAGAAACAATATTTTTCTTGATTATATATAACTGCTTTAGTTGAGAGTCACACCCAAATATAAATGATCTTTCCCAACCAAAAGACATTAATAATTATTAAAATTATTCTTTATTGTCTGACTCATAACATAAGCTTGAAAACATTATTAATGACTTTAATAAAATAATTCAGGCTTTATTTAGTGTCTCCTAGTGGATGGCACAGAAACTAGTCAATCAAAACAGAGGCAGCAAAGTTAAGAAAAATACATATTGACATATAAAGCAAAAAAGAACATTTTTTTTGTGAGCTGGTATCATGTCAACTCTGGGTAAAAATATGCTTCTCAAAAGCAAATAAAAAGCTATGAAAAAAAAACAGCTTTTTTTGTCTTCTCACTGTAATTCAGTGTCTAGAGCAAACTATAGGGTACAGTACACGCAGTCCTACGTAGCTTGTCCTACAGTTCAGCAACGCTTCACTTTTAATGTAAGTACTCGAGAAATAAAATGTAATCTTATCTTACAAGATTAGAGCTAGAAATCAACCTCTTGCCAGTTATTTGACAAATTCATTAATAATTCAAGAGTTATTAAATAATGTTTTGAAATGAGAGTATAATATATATGTGTACATGTTTGACCTGCACATGGACTAGATATGATAGAATAATAGACTTCTTGTTTTGATATACCTTAGAGATTTCTTTAATATCACATTAAAACTTATAACAAAAAAGACAAAGCTTCAAAGGCTTTTAAGATTATTTATGGGACTAAAGAGATGTCGTGGCTTCTTCCAGAGGACTTGGGTATGATTCACAGTACCCAAACGATAATTCATATCCAGTTATAACTGCAGTTTTAGGGTATCCAATGCTCTCTCTGGATTTTTTGGGGAATGGACATATGTGGAGCACAGACACATGCAGGCAAAGCACAAAGAGAAAAGAAGGAATTTGGAAAAAGGATCTCTGTGTTCTACTTTACATTGTGTAAAGACACCAGGAACATGTGCAAATGTGTGAGTAAAAACTGTAACTGAGGATTATTTTAATTTTCCTACAGCTTACTTTTGTTTCTTTCTCTATTATCTGTGTTTAAATATAAAATATAATTTGTTTATAGTTTTTCTTTAAATTTCAATAATTGCTGAACTGTGGTGGCACACACCTTTAATCCCAGCACTCAGGAGGCAGAGTCAGGAGTATCTTTGTGAGTTTAAGGTTAGCCTGGTCTACAGAGTGAGATCTAGGACAGCCAGGGTTACACAACACAGTGAAAGTCTATCTCGAAAACCAAATTGTTTTCAATAATAGAGTGTTGTTTAAATATTGCATTTATGACTGCCCCTCAGTAATAATGTTGAAATGACAGTTTGCATCTTTAAAACATTCATCACATCCTCTCCCACTCCTGATTTATGCAATGCTGTCTCCAACTCTCTGAGTACAGTGCCTGCTGATAGTTTCTTTTAAGAGCTTACTTTGAACAGTGAGTTAGTGCTAAGCTGGAAGCTGAATACTGGTACTATCACTTAACTTTCTTATACTGCCACTACCACTCAACTTATTTGCTGTACTTGACAAAAATAAATTCATTCCACGTGTTAAATATCGAAGTCACTTACAGTTCCTGGACGTGGATACGGGACTCTTCCTTGATATGGCACCCACTGATAGTTGGGGCCGTCTCTGTGAGCATACGGGCCCAGGAACACTCTTCTTACATCGCTCATGCTGTACAAACACACCGCAGAGCCCTTGAAGATGTTGCTAGGAGAGGAGAGAAGAGAAGGAAAAATGGCTTTATCTCTAGTTAGTGGCTGTAGGATGACTTGGACTTCCCCCATTATGTCAGATGTTAGTGACCAAAACACACGTAGAGCCTTTGCAACCACAAATATTCTTTGGGATTAGTTTGGTCTCATTGATGTATTTTATCAATGTATAAAGGATTAAATCATGATTTGTTTAAAGTGTGTGAAATCTTATTTGGTCTTCATAAATATATGCATTTATATCAAATATAAACTATTAAAGCTGGACAAGAAAGACATATATGAGTGATCACCTTGGAATGAATATTCGGTTTTGATGTCATAAAGAAATAAAAGCTAAAATTTCTGTTTCATCCTTAAGTATCATTACTGAAAAAGAAAATCATCATAGTCTCAAGAACTTTAAAAAGTCATTTTCAAAGCTTAACCTGGTGCTCTGAAGGAATGTATGGAGGCATATCTCATTCGAATTTTAACTCCTAAACCAACAAGGTGTGAAATGAAGTAACAATGGAAATCCACGAAGGATTAATCATTATATCTGTACAACACCGAGCATAGTTTAAGGTAGTAGGCATACGCGATGTTCAAAGTGGAGAATTATGGCAGATATTTCTATCATTCTATCAATCAAAAGCAAGCAATTGAAATAACTGTGTTTGTCATTGAGATGAAACTATTTTCCATTTACTTGGTCTGCAAAAGCACAGCTTATGTAACATATTATATAAAAATAAAATGTGTGGTTACATCACTTATAATATAACAATGCAAGTCATATTGAAAGCACACATAAATCATGCCACACAAGAACTGTGACTTCCTAAGCTATAAAAATTGCTCATTAGACAATGATGTCTATTGGGCTCTGACAACCACTTGCCATGAATACATGGCTCCATACTAACCTCAAGAAATATGTATGACATGTAATATTTCCATGATAGAATAAAAAACAGAGTAACCCACATTCGATGCATCCCATTTTCATTGAAATTTGTTGATTATATCCCATTTTATTGTTACATATTTAGTAATCTTGGTGAATCAGATAATTCTGAACTTTTATGCGTACAATTTAGAGTCATTTGCCACCAATAACCTATCTTACTGAAAAGAGTGAAGAAATTATTTCATGCATTAAACAGTGGCAATCAAAATTTGGATTTCCTAAATACTAGCATGGTAATTACCCAGTGAACTGGTCAGAAGAGCAAATTCATAGGGCCAACTCATTCATACAAGGTCAGAGTCGCTAGTGAAAAACGATATGAATTTTATTATTTATATTTTATAATTAAAATTTTATATATGATTTATAGAATTTGCGTATATTATTTTAAAATAGAGACATTAAGTTTTAACACATTCTTGGTGATTCTCACAGACAATACTGGGAAATGCTGTTGCTCTAGGAAGTGGGGACACAGAAAGACAGACTGAGAGTTGCCACTCACTTCCCACAGTCTTACTGCCGTTGTCTAGTTATCAGCACCAGATTTACTAATGCATCGGCATATGGACTTGCATATAGATTTATTAATATGTGTCTCTTCATTTCCAAAGTTCATTTTATTAAGTAATGATGCCAAAGTGATTTAAATGTCTTTAATATTTATAAATATGCCAGAATTACATTCTACAATTAATCTTTCTTTTTATATGACCATACTCACCAACAGTGCTTCTTAGTGGATTCAATATTATTTTTATTTTAAATAATTTGCCATCTCTCAATGCATATGCTTACTAATAGCCATGCAATGAGCTTATTTATTCCAAAAATACTTTATATAGTTTGAACCTTCTGTTGAGTAGAATGGGGGTTGTCTGATCGAAAGATTAAGCAGCTACTTTTTCATTGAGAGCAAAAACTCTTGGATGAACTAGAAAGAAAGAAGCGCAGGCTAATGACAGAGCTGGGAGGGTATGGAAGTGAGAGAATGCACAGGGGAGGAATGGAAAGGAACGGAAAGTGAAGTAATGAAGCTTGAGTTTGGAACTGTGTGTCAAGCAGAGAACACATAAAAACCTGTGCGAACTTGGCTCTCTGGTTTCTCTCTCCAGCTCTTGCTTGGATTTAAGGAATCTTTTTATAAGATTATATTTTAAATATTTGGATTTTAGGTAGTTAGTGAAAAAAATCAAGGAACCCATCAAATTAAAGAGTAATTAGTGTAAAAAATGAAGAAAATCTATTTGCTAACTTTCAGAAATTTTGATATGATAAATATAGTATATTCTAATGCATGTGAAGTGTGTAAAATCATTATACATATATTAAAATTTTATGAAATGCTGTATTAATGTTTGTAAAAGTACCCAAATAGGTTATATTTAAGGACATATGTGCATATACAGCTATATATTTATGAATGCACTTACAATTAATGAAAAAGAAGGCATGAGTTTGAAGGAAAGTGGGGAGCAGTATATGTGAAGGTCTGGAGAAATGGAAAGATTATAAGTATATTATAATCTCAAAAACAAAAGAAGCATAAAAACATTTATACAAACAACTTAACATTTTTATTTGTTAGCTTTTCACTTTCTCTAACTCTGCCAAGTTTTCATTGACTTCTAAGGGAATGTGCAGGGAGACGGAGCAAGGACTTTACATGTGAGAGCAGTGGGAAGCCTACCCAACTGCTGGACACCAGAGGCGTGTTTTCTACTAAGTTCTCCGTCAACCACCTGTCCAGAGAGAGGACTTCCCCTCCAGGGGAACAACTGGAAACACTAAATATCCTAGGTGGCCTATCACCTCGTTTCTTTCGCATTTGCTGACAGCAATTGAGACAGAGTGTGTCGGACCGTTGCTACAGTTCTAAGTTCCAAATCGAGTTCCTTTGTTCTTCTTTTATATCACTAAAAGCTTCTTTCAAAAAATTATTGTTTCCAACTTTATGATCCCCAGCTTGCTGTATATTAAATATAAAATATTAAAGTTGATATTATATTATTACTCACTGTACTATATACGATATAACACACAATTTTCAGACTGCTTCATTGTTCTATTTATAGTGATGATATTCTTGCATTACATGCTTTAATTTCTGATGACTTGTATTTGGTGAGCGGGCACACCCATGTGAGTACACACGTGTGCCACAGTGATGCACAGTTCAGAGGACAACTTGTTTCGGTCAGTTTTCTACCCCATCTGCTTTCTGGAATCCCACTCTGGTTGTGAGCTTTGGGACAAGCCCCTTCATCCCAGCAACCATCTCAATGGCCCCTGACCTCATGACTTGTAAAATCATTATCAGTGCATGTCAGAACCAAGAATTCACAGACACTCAAAAACCTGAAGCCACACAAGCGTCTAAGCAGCTACAGGATGGGCAATTTATCCAACACAGCAATAAAGTGTCGTTTACCTCGATGTTGTAAACACTCCGTAGACAACCGGATTTTTAGGATCTTTAGAGTTCATTAAGAATACATCCTCTGTTTGAAAACACAACCAGAGAAAGATCTATATTTATTTTACATCTAGTGGGCAGTTTGCACCCCCTCCTCTCCTCCCAGTTCCTCCTCCATCCCTCCTTTTCCTGCCCCAATCCATCCCTCCTCTCTTCTCATCTCCCCCTCCCCCATGCATTTCTCCTCTGTTTCTGTTCAGGCACAGGTCTCCCTCGGATATTAACAAAACATGGCATGTTACGTTTCAGTAACACTAAGTACTTCACATATGTCCTATGTGTCAAACATCAGCCACTTACGCAATTCATCGAAATGGGTGTCAATGCCATTGGGACCTGGCACAGAGCAAATCAGGCGAGCCTTCAGGAATGTCGTCCATTTATTCACAAGACTTCTGTGTCCGCCAAAGTCATTCTGAAAGGTGACACAAGCTACTCTATAGAGCAAGCATGCTACACGGAAGTGTCAAATATGTTTCTATTTCCCATTTTGAAACTCCAGGCACATGAATGTATTTCTTCATTTTTCCATGTTTAAGTTATTTTTTTATAAATATAATTTTTTATTGAAAAAAAATTCCGCCTCCTCCCCGCCTCCCATTTCCCTCCCCGTATCCCTTTTCCCCCCCCCTCCTCCCTCTCCTCTCCCCCTCCCTCTCCAGTCTGAAGGGCAGTCAGGGTTCCCTGCCCTGTGGAAAGTCCAAAGTCCTCCC